ATGCCTACCCCGTTCAGTGTGAGCAGCAAGATACGGAAGAAATAAGGCATTGGTGGGAGCCGAGATGGGGATCCCACGGGCTTGCACTGCCAACAAAGACAAATGAATGAACCACTCAGCAAACCAGGGCACTTCCACCCCAGAGCAGAGCTGTCACTGGTAAATAAATCATCGACGCTCCACGCCGGACGTGGCAATTTCAGCGGGAGAGGATGAGCACATTTATCTGCCTGGTGACACCCTGGCTGTCTTCAGGCGGGGAGGGGGTATGAAAATACTCCCCAGCATGCAGCCTGCCTGGGGCTAGTTCCAGGGCAGGGGCGGCGGGAGGCGGGAGAGGGTCTCTTTGCAGGAACGGTGTTTGTCTCAGACTCCCCACCAGTGCCCAGATGCAGGATCCTCATGCTTTTCTATGACTTTCCAAGGGGTCATAAGCATAGTAATAGCACATATGACGTGCTTTCTATGGGCACTGGGGTGAGTTTTTTAGGTTTATGTTATCTCACTAACTGGCTAGAAGTAAGTTATTGTTGCGGAGTCTCTTTTGCATAGGAAAGTGACTACTTGGAGGATGTCTATTCTCTGCAATTATTCTCAGATGTTAAATGACGTCTAGGAAAAGGCGGTCCAGCACCAGGTCACCACCCAAGGGCTTCACCAACTTCCCATCATCCACAGCATCAAGCTTCTTCTCTCGGTGCTGGGTCTCTGCAAAAAGACACAGTTGGGAACTGTGAAAGGACACTAAGCAGGAAGTGGAAGAGGAGGACCTGGGGGTGGGAAAGCCAGCCCCACCCCCACCCCGTGGGGAGAGAAAGGATGCTGAGGCCCAGGGCACAGGGGCCTCAGAGCCAAGTTCCCAACATTCAGAGGCGCCAGTCACGCTGTCCTGCCAAATTCTGCTGTGCCCTGACAAACGTTATTGTCTTGGAATAAACGCTACTCAATTCCATTGTCCTTGGGAGGGGCTTGCAGACCCTCCAGTGTCAATGGAAGTGTCTTGTGTTAGATCCACGGAGCTCAGAGGGAAAAGGAGTAGGCGCTGTGTGGGAACCCAACGGGTTTACTACATACAATTCTCAAAGCAGCCCCATTTGACAGAGGAACCTAAGAAGGTGAGGGCACCTGCTCACAGCCTCATGACGCTGGCGGAATATTATTCTAAGGGCTCCCCAGATTTTCCCTATCAGCAGTCTCCTGAGCCCTGACTAGCCAAGGAGAGACTGCAGGTGGCCCCTCCTTAAAGACCCACCCACTAAAGTCCTCTTATGTCCCCTCTGAGGGTCCCTGACCCTGCAAATCAACACCCCAGGCAGGCCCGAAGTGTTTCCCCATCTCTCACCTCTTTGGGGATGGGGAATAGATCATCAACAAGCAGAAATATGCAATTAATAAAAATGATGTGAAGTTGCTTTTATGAATAAGATCATAATACATTAAGGGAATCGGGTTATGAAATAACATGTGCAATATGATCCCATTTGAAAATTGCATAAAAACAGCCCTGGGGAAAAAATATATCCATTATTAACAATGATTTTTTGGAGTAGGGGAGTGAAGATTTATTGGTGATTTTTATTATTTTAGCTTATATGTATCTTGTTTGTTTGTTTATCAGCAATATACATGCAATGTATGTCTTACTTGGATAATAAAGAACAAAAATAAAAGGGCTTTTTCCCCCTGGAAAGAACAAAGTGAGTATTTTGGAAAATTTCTATAAAGTTGCTGCTGGAAGCCAAGCGAGCTTCTAAGCCAGTGGTTAACATTGCTCTGACCACAGTTCTTTGTGTTTAGCTTTTTTTATGTTTCAGGAACATAAATATAGCTGGATCTGAGCTCTAAGTGTCTATGGGACAAATAAATAAATAGATCATCAGAATTTCTATCATTTTCATTTCTACATGGCAAAGAGAAAGAAAGGGAGCCTGTCCATGTGACTCATAATTCCTTCTCCTGCTTGCTCTAACATCCAGATGGACATGATGCCACCAAATCCCCTTATGGCTCCCAGATTCCTTCACTGCAAAGCCCCAGGCCTCCAGACCTTTGTTTTTCTGTTCACGGATTCCCTTTCGTCTTTGTGGGAGAATTTACGGTCCAATGGCCCAGACCTCAAGTTCTGAAATCCCATTGTCTCAGTCCAAACCCTCATTCCACCTGAGTTTACATCCCACTCAGCCTGAGTTCACATCTCCACTCAGCCTGAGTTCACATCCCCAGTCTGCTGGAGTTCACATCCCCACTTTGCCCCTGAATAACTAGATAATGTTGGGCAAGTCTTCCCATGGCTGAGGCTCAATGTCCTCATTAGTAAAAGGGATAATTTTCATAACCTTGGGTTGATTAAGAGAAATAAAGCCCACAAAGTCCTTGGCAGTATGTTGCAGCCAAAATGAGCCCCTCTCTCTCTCTTTTTCTCTTCTACATTTTTCCCCTCTCACAGAAGTGACCAAAGGGTCAAGGTGGTGTTTGGGGACATAATGATTTCTTATCCTCTGAGGGTCCAGATACAACTCATAGTCTTGGGGGTGGGGGAATGGGTTAGCCTGGTGGTGGGTATTAAGGAGGGCACGTTCTGCATGGAGCACTGGGTGTTATGCACAATGAATCATGGAATACTACATCAAAAACTAATGATGTAATGTATGGTGATTAACATAATATAATAATTAAAAAAAAAACAACTCATAGTCTTGTAATAGGACTTGTCCCTCCCAAGTCTCCCATGGAATCGAGAGATGCATGGCCCCAGATGGGCACAAGAGACCTCGGACCAGCACATGCTAACAGACTGACCCCCAACTCACCGGTTTGCTATATTTGCCAAACCTGCCTTGACTAGCTTTCTTGATGATTTTCAATGACTATGAATATGGTCCTCTTAATAAATTGGTCTTGAATATATTCTCAGCAGCATTTCATATTCTCAGCAGCATTTCCAGCTCAATTTGTCTAAAGCTAAATATCATGGGAGCTGTTTAGTTTTCTTATGACTATCTTTTAATGAAGAATATATTCTTGAATATCTTAGAGTCTCGAATATAATTAAAATATCTTGAATAAATTTGAGGGTAAGATATTCAAGAAGTATAAATTCATAGAGTATTACCAAGGAACATATTAAAATACCACATGTAGAAGAATGTAGTCATTGACTATATTCAGGAGGAGTATATTGATATTCATTAACTATAATTGATGGGACTTTTCCTTAAATGAGGTTTGGAAAATTTGACTAATTTGAGCAATTGGTCATTAGCAACTTGATTTTTCAGAGAACTACATATCATGGATTTGATTTTTGGTGGATTGGCCTCGGAGCATCTTTTATAAGGTCTGAGGGAAGTCCACCAAGATTCACAACCAACTTTGGCCAGTCCTGACCCTCCAGCTCTGTCCTTGACCCTCTGGGGTACTCCCACCCTCTCTGGGCTCTAAGGGAAGCCCGCATTTTGAGAGAAGCCTATCCTCTTCATTTTTTTTCAACTCAGAAGCATTTAGCTTTGCTCCAGGAATGTGGATAATGAACTAAGCCAAAACTCAAACACCTAACTCTGGGTTTGAATCCCGGTTTCTGCTACTGGCCCGCTGTGTGATCTTGGGCAACTGACACAACATCTTTGAGCATCTCATGGGCCTATTATTATTTTTAAATGAATTTCTAAATAAATATTTTAAAAATGTGTTAGCTTTAATTTCTAATATGGTAACTACTGATAGGTCTAATCACACACACACTCTCTTTGGGGTCCTCCGTAATTTTTAAGTGTGTCAAGGGATCCAGAAACCAGAGCTTTGGGAACTGCTGAATTAGATTATTTCAAAAGGTCCAAGAATCTGGGATTTTTATGGTCCAGGCACTCCTATGTTGCTCATTCATCTTCATTCATTTATTCTACAACAGATATTTAATGATATTTAATGAGTGCTTCCTATCTGACAGACTTTTCTAGGTGCGGGGGATAAAATGAGGAACAAGACACACTTCCTGGTAGGGAACAGACCAACTTAAGGGCCCATTGAATGATACAGGCTCACACACCTTATGATGGTCATGAGGCAAGAGCAGGGAGAGACTTGTGTGGGCTGGGGGCAGGAGGCAGGAAGGGGATGACACCCTGGGTGAAGAGACCAGTGTTAACATTCTCACTGCTGCCTTGTTTTGCTCTTGGCATGAAGCTCTTGGCATGAAGAGGGAGACTCAAGTAAAGAATCTACGTGAGGGGTGCCTGGGGGACACAGTTGGTTAAGAGTCCGACTCTTGGTTTTGGCTCAGGTCACGATCTCAGCCTGAGATCAAGCCCCGAATGGGGCTTCCCGCTCAGTGGGGAGTCTGCTTCCTCTCGCTCTGTCCCTCCCCACTCCTGTCCCCTGCTCATGCTCCCACAGGCTCTCTATCTCTCGCTCTCTCTCAAATAAAAAAAGAATCAAGGTGAAAAGGGGGATGAGGGTCCAAACATCTTGGGTATTGATCAGGAATGATGGTCTCTGCCTTCAGACCAGGACAGATCCTCAGTGTCTCAGCGAGAGGCAGCCAGAACAGAGTTACCTAGAATTCCATAGACTAAGTGGTTTAAACAGTGGAAATCTGGTGCTCAGTTTTGGAGACTAGGAAGTCCAACATCAAGGTGCTGCTGATTTGATGTCTGGTGAGACCCACCTTCTGGGCTTGCAGAGAGCTGCATTCTCACTGTGCCCTCAGGGACCCTTCCTCAGTGCATGTACATGCATGCATGAGCACGCGCTCGTAGGCGCGCGCACGCACACGTAGGCGCGCGCACGCACACACACACACACACACACACACACACAGTGAGCTTATAAGGACACCAATCCTATCAGATCAGGGCCCCACCCTTATAACCTCATTTAAGTATTATTACTTCCTTAGAAACCCCATCTGCAAACACAGCCACCCCGGAGGAGAGCTCCAACATATGAATGTTGGGAGGGGGGGAGTGGGGGACACAAACCTTCAGTCCCTATGAGAGCCAATTCCAGCAATCACCACCTCCCTGTTGCATTCTTCTACACAAACCCTCTGAGAAAGAAATTGCTGGTGGCCAAAACAAAAGCTTCCTCCCTCCTACAGGATATGGAGAGGAAAAACAAAAGAAAGAAATGTTTGCCCAAGCAGGGAGTATTTACAAACTTGGCATAGCCCTCCCTGACTTCCCACCCAAATGCAAACACACACTGGAGGCTTCCACTACTGTGGTCTTGGTTTACGAAACTAAACATATTTGCCACTGAAATGCTTTTATTAGTGGTATAATTAGGATTTTTTTTTTCAGCAAAGTCATTACTGGAATAGGAGCCTATGGACGTCTAAAGAGACATCACAGAGGAAGCCTACGCAGGTGGCTCGTCTTCATTTCTCTCCTAGGATCTACATCAATTCCTTTTTCCCCCTCTCCTTATTATTTTTAACTATATGAAAATATTTTTTGAAAGAGAATCAGAAACTCAGACGAAAATAAAAATCACTCACATTCCCCCCTTTCCCAGAAGGAGGCAACTACTTTTTTTTAATGATTTTATTTATTTGAGAGAGAGAGAGCCCAAGTTGGGGGGAGGAGAGAGGGAGAGAGAGAGAAGCAGGCTCCCCACTGAGCAGGGAGCCCAACATGGGGCTCCATCCCAGGACCCGGGAGAGATCATGACCTGAGCAGAGGCAGATGCTTAACCAACTGAGCCACCCAGGCGTCCCAGGAGGCAACTACTATTATATTTCATGTGTTTCTTTCTCGTGAACATTCATATATTGAATATAGAGACCTTATCACTACTACTATGATGATTACTATTTTACAAAAATGGTATCAAGCTTGGCTTGTATCCTCTTTTTTTATTTATTTTTTTTACAGACGTTTTTAACGTCTGCCTACTCTACAATTCCATTAAATGGATGTCTTATAATTCAAGTTCACTCCTATTGATGCACGCGTAAATTATTTCTAATTTTTTATTCTTATAAACAAAGCTGAGGGAAGCATCCCGGCAACTAGACAGTTGCACTCACTCATGCTTTCTTTCTCGGGATAAATTCCTAGGATCCGCATTTCTGGATTCATGGAGATACACAGCTTTGCTTGTTATTGTTGCATGTCCATAAAACACATGCATATAGATTTCAGAATAAAGGGGTCCCTTTTCCCCCTTTCCTACCTCTTGTTGGGAGACATTTTCAGAAAGACAGAGGGAATAGTTCAGAGGTTTTTTAAAAATACAATAACACTTCAATGTTATACCACGAGAGTTCATTGATCATGAAATTGGAATTGCATCACGGAAATTTAACTAACTTGAATTCAACCGTCTTTCATTAAATCCATCATTGATCTTTTCATTTTTTTATATTTTTTATTTTTTTTAGTAATTTCTGCACCCCAGGTGGGGCTCAACCTCACAACCCAGAGATCAAGAGTCTCATGCTCTTCCAACTGAGCCAGCCAGGCACCCCCATCATTGATCTTAATATACCATTATTTTTCATAAAATTAAGAAATTTTTTAAATAAACTTTTGTAATTGAGTTACCACCCGCTGCCTTTATAGTCCTTTTAACACCTTAATTGGTCACACCATGCCTCATTTAAAATTCCCTTCATCTTTTCTGAGGGATTTGGCAATTTCTCTTGCCTCCTGTTGCCTGGCTTGGTATGTGACAAGGAATCCTTCTGCACAAATCTCGGTGACAAAATGCCATCCATCCTCACCGACTAGTCTCTTACTTTTTAGGTGTTCAGTAAAATTTGCTTGTTATTTTGCAAAAAATATAAACCTGGAGTCATTCCCCCAAAGACAAGCATTTGCTTCACTAATATGAAAACTCCACCCCACTGTCCTGCTTGGGGGCCTTTCTGTGGACACGGAAACTTTCCACTTCAATGCCAAACCATATCGTAGTGTAATCTTTTTGAAGACATTTTAAACAGCAATTAAAATCAACCCGTGAAGGACCGGCAGTGTGCATAATTGGGCGGAAGTGACGACAATATGAACGGCTATGACCAAGTTTCCTTGGACTCGAGGAATTTCGTACCTGCCTGCTGGCTGACTGACAACAGACTGGAAAATGCATCTCCTTTTCAGAGAGGTTAAAATTAGAAAAAGTGTGCTTAGAACTGATAGTGTGCTTAGAATTAGAACTGATGAAATACGACTAGTGGGAGCCTCAAAAGTTAAGATAAAAAGAGAAATATCAACACAAGTGTGCTGATAATAATGCTCCCTTATTCCATTCATTAAGCGTCTGCCCCAGAATAGGCATGAGATGGGAAATGTGAATTTATCAAATTCCCAGTTGGTGTCATTTCTCACTTAGCTCTCAGGGTGAAGACATCTTTGCCACACTGAGAGTGATTCTAGAGTTTAAAGATACATAGATACAAATAATATACCTACTTAGATAAATAGATCATAGGTAGATAGATAGATAGATAGATAGATAGATAGATAGATAGATGTAGCTCAACATGTTTCCTAACAGAAACCCAATAAACAGTCATCAACTCCAATTTTGGAGGAAGATTTAGTGAGAGACAGCATGTAGCTCTGTAATATGATGGCTCCTAAGGGATTTTCAAGGGCAATTTTAAATTTTTGAATTTTGAGATTGTCACCTTTTCTGCTGATTCAGGATAGGGCTGGGACACAGGAGGAGAGGAGGAGGTGGAAGGGAATGTGAGCAAAAGAATGTGAGCAAGGGGAGAGAAGATGAACAAAAGCCACAGAGGAAAGACACAGCTGAGTGGGATTCTAGAGGAACTCAAAGGAATAGAATGGAAAAGCCATTTTTGCCTCAATCTCTGGACTCCCCATTTGTTCGAGACCAGCCTCCTCACATATGATTGTGTTCTTTTTATACCTGTGTGCCTTTCCAGATGCTGTGAGGTTCAACAGCAGGATAACGTTCATTGAAGGGCCACCATTTTGCCAAGATCTCTGATTTTTCTTCTTCATCCCCCATAGCAACCTTATGAATTTGGGATCTTTATTATTCTCATTGCCCACATGAAGAAACTGAGACTTTGGCAGATTGAGTAACTTGCCCAAAGCCCCGCGGCTGGGAAGGAGGGAGGCAACAAGGTGAAAAAGGTGGAGTGAATGGGATTTGGAGTGAGGATGACTGGTTTCTGTCCTGTAGTAGTTTTCTATTGCTGCAAAGTAAATAACCACAAACCTGGAGGCTTAACACAATACACACTTATTACATCACAGTGGCTCAGAGTCTGAGAATGGCTTATCTAGACTGTGCTTCGGAGTCTCTCATAAGGCTGCAATCAAGATGTTGACCAGGGCTGGGGTCTGACCTGAGTGTTGTAAATGACCTGCTTTCAAACCCATAGGCTTGTTGGCAATATTCAGTTCCCCAAGGCTTGTCCCACCGATAGCCTCAGTTTCTTGCTATTTTCATCATAGAAGCCTCTACAGCATGGCAACTTGCCTCTTCAAAGCCAGCAAGGGACAGAGTACGCTAATGGGATGGACGTTATGATCTTTTTTTTTTTTTAAACATTTTATTTATTTATTTGACAGAGAGAGATACAGCGAGAGAGGGAACACAAGCAGGGAGAGTGGGAGAGGGAGAAGCAGGCTTCCTGCCGAGCAGGCAGCCCGATGCAGGGCTCGATCCCAGGATCCCAGCATCATGACCTGAGCCGAAGGCAGAAGCTTAACAACTGAGCCACCCAGGCGCCCCGGACGTTATGATCTTATGCAACATAATCACCTTTGCCATATTCCATTGGTTAGCAGCAAGTCATGGATCCTACCCACACTCAAGGGGAAGGAATTACACAGGATAGGAACACCAGGAGGTGGCATCACTGATCAAAGGAGGCCATCTTAAAGCTGTCTGCTACACATCCTCACTACACTTCTCCCTGCTAAACCAACCTTTCCGTGTCTCAGTTTCCTTACTTGTAAAATGGAGACCCTACTTCCATAAGCCAATCTCATAAAGTTGTAACAGGGATTGGTTGTGTTCATCTTTGTAAAGTGCTTCAAACAATACCTAGTTCATAGCCAACATCACACACACACACACACAAAATCTGTTAAATTAATAAATACCAGAACTAGAATCCAAACCCAGATTTGAAGGCTCTGAAGGCCATGCTCTGGATCATCATACTTTTGTAGAGATATTAGAAAATACAGAATAAGCAAAAGAAAAGAAAAGTATTCCCATTCAAAATCCCAGCAACCCAATCAAAATCCCAGCAAGCTATTTTGTGGTTATTGAGAAACTGATTCTAAAGTTTATATGGAGAGGCAAGAGACCCAGAATAGTGAACACAATATTGACAGAGAAGGTCGAAGTTGGAGGACAGACATTACCTGACACCAAGACTTACTATAAAGCAACTATGATCAAGACAGTGTGGTATTGGTGAAAGAATAGACAAAAGATCAATGCAACAGAATAGAGAGCCAGAAATAGACTCACACAAATAGAGTCAACTGATCTTTGACAAAGGAGCAAAAGCAATTCAATGGAGAAAGGCCAGTCTTTTCAGCAAATGGTGCTGGAACAACTGGACATCCACATACAGGAAAAAAAGAAAAAAAGAACAACCCACAAGATTCCAAACATAGATAATATCCCTTTAACAAAAATTCACTCAAAATGTATCATAGACCTAACTGTAAAATGCAGAATTATAAAACTCCTGGAAGATAAGAGGAGAAAATCTAGATGAACTTGGGTTGGCGATGGCATTTGAGATTCAATATAAAAAGCATAATCTACAAAAGAAATAAATTGCTAAGTTGGACTCCATTAAAATTACAAATTTCTACTCTGTGAAGGACATTGTTAAGAGAATGAGAAGATACACCACAGAAGGGATAAAATCTTTGTGAGGCACCTATCTGGTAAAGGGCTGGTATCCAGAATATACAAAGAGCTTTTAAAGCTCAACAGTATGAAAGCAAACAACCCAAATAAAAAATGGACAAAAGATCTGAATAGACACCCCACCAAAGAAGATACACAGATGGGATCTAAGTATATGAAAAATGCTCAACATCATAGTTTATTGGAGGACTGAAAGTTAAAGCAATAAGTAGATACCATTAC